TCCCAGTAAGCTCTGGATGCTCTCAGTGCTCTGGCCGCATGATTTCATACTTGTCTTCCATTTGTCTCCCATTTGTCTCCCACTTGTCTCCCAGTAAGCTCTGGATGCTCTAAGTGCTCTGGCCGCATGATTTCAGACTTGTCTCCCACTTGTCTCCCAGTAAGCTCTGGATGCTCTAGCGCTCTGGCCGCATGATTTCACACTTGTCTCCCATTTGTTTCCCACTTGTCTCCCAGTAAGCTCTGGATGCTCTGAGTGCTCTGGCCGCATGATTTCACACTTGTCTCCCACTTGTCTCCCAGTAAGCTCTGGATGCTCTGAGTGCTCTGGCCGCATGATTTCACGCTTGTCTCCCACATGTCTCGACGTGGCCCACTTGTCTTCCACATGTTTCCCATGGCCTGTCTGGATGCTTTGCATCCCCGGGCTTGGCTGGATGCTGGGCCGATCAATTTTTTGATGCGCACAAGGCCGTTGCTCTGTTGTATTTCTGGTGTTTCGAGTTTGAAAGCTGCGTTGTCTGCACTGGGCCGTCGATAAGTTTGCCGGCTCAGATCATGAATGACGCATGGTTTAGTGTTGCAGTTTGCCAAAGGGACAGCTCGCCATCTTGCGACATGTTATCAGACAAGCTTTGTTACTGATTGCTTTTCGCGAGTGTTGCAACATGCGGAAAGCGCGAAAAGCTCCATCTCAATGGCTGCCCGTTTGGAAGTGCCAGTTTCAGAAGGAGAATCCTAAGAAGGCAGGCCATCATGAGAGCTTGGTTTTGGATCCAACAACATGGATATATATATATATACATGGTATGTAAAATGCGGTCTATATATACAGATGTATGATTTTGGTCTTTGAGTATGCAAATATGCTCTGTGTCATGGCAAGCGGCAGGCACCTTCTCTTGCTTGGCACCGCTTTACAAGTTATGCTGCGGCTGTGACTATTGGAGAAGCTTTTTGCGGCGGAGCCAATCACAGGGACTTGGATTTTGATTATCAACGAGGCCATATGACGTGTCCTGAAGCAGATGAGCAGATTAAAGCTGATTTGGAGGAGCAGGTTGGGGTTGCTGGGAGGGAGGCTTTGATCTATGGATTGATTTTTGTTATGGCTGCTATGTTTTTGTACTTTTGAGCTTTGCAAGTGGCGCTATTCGGTGAGCGCATTGGAGGAAAGTCTTGTTGAAGCTCACGTGCCTGAAGCTCCAGATCACGACGAAAAACCGGCAGAGAAGGCATTGTTGCTTTAGTGGTGTGCCATTCAATTAAAGCTCTGCTTTGCTTTGAGATATGAATGAACATGTAAGCAAGCGTGTTCTTTTGCCAGGATTTGGTGGCAATTCATGTGAATGAGGATGATTTGCCGGCTGTGGCAGTTTGTGATCGATTCTTGTTGGAGACTATGGTCAATGGAAAGACAGATGCAATTGAGAAAAGTTTGCCGGATAACGATATCATCTTTGTTGTTAGCAAGGGCGTTCAGACCGATATAACAGAGCTTGGGGCTTTGTCCTGCACTTCTGCTTGCGCTGGGGGTCACTCTCAGTGATGGATGGTTGATTGTATCGATGTCAACATTTTGGTTGCAGTCACACGGCATGTGACATGATGAAAAGCGGAATCCATACTGTGTGCCCCTTTTTGGCACCTGGCTGCCCTGACTCAGTCGTTGTGGCAGATGGCCTGCTGCGGGTTCATGAGGGTTGCGTGATGGTAGCCAAAAAGAAGATGTTTTTACTGACTTGCGAAAGCCAGCATGTTTGAATGCTTTTTTGCCGTTGCGGTGCTTGTCAAACACTGTTCGCAGCAGAGCAATGCCATTGCGTAACGATGTGTTCAGGATCGAGGAAGTTTGTTTGTTTTTTTAAAACATTTTTGTTTTATTTTACATATCTTTTCGGGATGCTGAAGTGAGCAGACATTAGCATTGTTTGCAAGAGTCGTGCAGTTTTTGTGTTTGCTTCAAGAATTCGATTTGTTGATCAAGGATTTCTTTTTGCCAGATTGGGTGTAAACAACACTTTCGATCTTTTTAGGGGGGGCAGAGCAGCGCACAAACAACATACCAGGGGAATGATCACAAGGGTTCACCGTAATGTTTTTGCGTCGCAACACGATTCCACAGGAAACGGGCGTTGTGACGAGTAAAAAATCCGTAGAAGTGCGGCTTCAAGTATGGCTATGCTGTGCCGCGAATTGATTTTGCCTTTTGATTTGCAAATGTTATTCCTTGTCACAGCCTTTGTTTTATGTTCGGAGTGGGTGCATGTAGACACGATCATTGCGTTGGACGTGATAGGCACGACGGCTGAACGATGTATTGCGGAAAATGCAGCGACGCAAAAGCTTGTCAGTCAAAGTGCGTGATGGTTGGCCTTGCAAGTCTCGTTGAGCACTTGAAAGTTTGGTTACTGCGCCAGAATTCCCATGAATTTCATGTTGCTTAATGTGCCGAGCTCGCCAAATTGCAGAATTGCAGACAGCTCTCACAAGTAATGTGCAGATAGAAGAGGCTAAAAATCAAGAAGGTTGCAACGGCTTGCTCTCAAGTGACCGCACGTGACCCCACCGCAGGTGCGCCGCAAGTGACTCCAACAAGTAACCGCCACTGCCCGCTGGAGCAAGTGACCGCACGTGACCCCACCGCAAATGCGATGCAAGTGAATCCAGCAAGTAACCGCCACTGCCCGCTGGAGCAAGTGACCGCACGTGACCCCACCGCAAGTGCGCCGCAACTGACTCCAGCAAGTAACCGCCACTGCCCGCTGGAGCAAGTGACCGCATGTGAGCCCACCGCAAGTGCGCCGCAAGTGACTCCAACAAGTAACCGCCACTGCCCGCTGGAGCAAATGACCGGACGTGACCCCACCGCCCGCTGGAGCAAGTGACCGCGCGTGACCCCACCGCAAGTGCGAGTGGCCGCAAGTGATTGCAGCAAGTAACCGCCACTGCTCGTTGGAGCAAGTGACCGCAAGTGACGGCAGCGAGTGCAAGTGACCGTACCGCTAGTGACCACAGTAAGTGACCCCTTAAGAGACTGCTGGAGCACGTGACCGAAGTGACTGCCACCGCGTGCTGGAGCAGGTGACAGCAAGTGACCACCACTGTCCGCTGGCGCAAGTGACTGCACGTGACCGCGCCGCAAGTCGCCGCACTGCATGCGGTCACATTGGATGCTAGTTTCGTGCGCGTGAGATCGTTTCATGCGCATGACATCATGTCATGCGCACGACATCATTTCATGTGCGCTTCATGATTTCATGTTCACGACATCATTTCACGGGCAGAGTATTATTTCGGCTGCTGTTAGTATTATTTCGGCGGCTGTTAGTAAAACTACAGTATTCCCATGAGAAGTATTACTTCATGCGCATGACATCATTTCATGCGCATGACATCATGTCATGCGCACGACATCATTCCGCGTGCACCGTATCATTTCATGGAACTGACATGAATGTTGGGGTTGCACTGACTTGTGCGACCCGGTGTATGGGCCTTTGAGTTTTCGCACATAGAAAGAGCCCTTTATCACAACAGATGCTTTTTGCATAATCGGAGCCTCTTCCTCATGCACCACAAGCGGACGCAAACAACCCAGGCGACTAGTGACTTTCAGAGAGTTTTTGAACATTTTTACATCTTTGAACAGTCAGTGGATATGAACAAGCGCTGCCAAAAAAACTTTAAACGCAATGGCCAAATCAATTTTTTTTGCCCTCGCACACACACGCAGTTGAAATCTGGAGCTAAATGAGGCTGGATTTGAAGCTTTTCAAAGAGCTCCAGATTTGGTGGCAGCTTGCTTGGACGACCCGAAGATGAAGCCACCTAAGCCCTTCATAGTCTTGAAGGATTTTCCTTATTTTGCAGAGATCCTCGCAGATCCTCGTTTCGTTTTGAGTCACCACAAGCTTCTTTCGAGTTGCTTTGCTTCGAAATACACTATTTTCACATATTTTCACCACAAGCGTTGCATTGCTCGATTTGCTGTTTAGGTTGGCAGCTACTTTCGTGCGGATGATCAACGAAGCAATCACACACTCTTACGTCAAGTGTTGCGACCTATGGCAAACACAGGTCAATGCAGTACATGGCTAAGCCAAAGAAGGCAACTGCGTAGGAAGGAAAAAGCCAAGCGCAGTGTCCGTGCTCTGAGGAAATCTTCATTTTGATTGGGTCTGCGCATTCGTGTTTACAAGGGGGCAGCATATGTCACAACCTGGATCCATAAATTTCATGTTTTAGTCCTTGTACGGCGTCCCATTGTAAAGTCAAAGAAAAACAGAATTTTAATGCGTTCCCTTTGAATCTTGTATGTGCGTCTACATGGTGGACTACAGTTTTTTTCCTCTAGGAAATACTGCTGGCCATATTGTTCGGAGATCTCATTTTTGAACATTGCTCTGTTTGGGGTCTACGCTGGTATAATTGAATTCGCGCATGCAAAAGAGAACCTTTTGGAACAGGGGGAGACACACACAAAACTCACTACGCCACTTGCTGCTCAACACCTGCGAGCCAGCAAGCTAGCCCAACGTTGTCCCAACACATGTCGCGTAGCTAAAATTAATAGCTCGGCCAACGCCTTCAGCCAGCATTTTACAAGTTCATGAGTTCAGCACTTGAATGCGAACTCTTCGGATTTGAGTTCACCAAAAAGAAGCTCAGCAACACCCGCTAGCTCACCACATAATTAGGTGACTTAGCTAATTGAAGCTCTTCCCTTTGACACAACATTTCGTTGCATGAGACTGCCCGTGTTTTTGGAGACGAGGAAGCAGAGGGATCCCAGCTCTCCGCTCGAGACCAGCCCGGTGCAGAGCGCTACCCACCGACCTTGGCAGCCCAGGTGTCAGTACGTCCTTATGACTCGGTCCATGAGGCGCGTGCAGCCTGGCAGCATTCCTTTCGCTTTCGCGGTTGCCATTCGAATGGGGAATATACGCAGACCTTGCCAGTGTTCTTGAAACATGGAGATGCGTGCAAACAGTTTCCTGTCGCTGGACTGCCTGGTTTAGCTTGAAAGACTTGACCGGGGCCTTGGGGACATTCCATCTCCCAACGAGTGTAGCCAACCTCACCAGGCTTTGCGTCTCCCTTAGCCCTTGCCGTGAGACAGCAAAATCGGTTCTGTGATTTCAGGGTGAAATGGGCAGGTATGGCCAAGGATGGCGTCCCCACCAATTTGATTCGCTAGAAGAGACTGTGGGGCATCCAGATGGTATTTTCGGAGCAAAGGTTGGCCGAGATGCGTCAGGCTGTCAGATTTGCATGTCTAAGGCCTAAGGAGGTCTTCTAAGCGGGTACATTGAGCTTGGGAGTCATTGGAGCGGAACACCGTGTTCCGAGACATGTGCGTTCGGGATGTTCACAGCTTCCCGGACCCCAGGGCCCCGGGGGGTCCGGGCGGTCCAGTGCCGAACTTGGAGAGAGCTCCACGTGACGCTGAGGCAGCAATGTCAAGCTCGATGTGGATTCCTGCGCCCTGTGGCGCCCGTTCATCGAGCATCCTTCGGTCATCCTCGCGTCCAGGTGTGGGGATCCTGGTGTTGGTGGCCACTCCCTAAGACATCCCTCAGGAACACCGCCAATGCGCTGGCTCATTGGGTTCTCGGATGCCTTCTGGTTGTGGGAAAGTAGCACAGAATCAGACTCTTTCAACACAAGTCCAAACCAAACGATCTAGCTTTGGGATGTCAAATGCAGATCCATGTTTGCGCCAGGATTGCTTGACAGCGGCGTTGACGCGGAAAGACTGGAAGGTGTATTGGAAGTTCGCCGATTCTCAACTTCCTCGAAGCAAGCGATGATTTGCATAGAAAGCTTTTCATGTGAAAAGAAAAGCGGGGAATGCGACCGCAATGCGACCCCTGCCCGTTGAATTTGACTTTGGAGACAGGCCCAAATGGGATGAGAAGGGGTACAATCTTAGATCTCAATTTCAGGGAAAAGCCAAACCAATAAAACCAATTTCATTGACACAGTCGAAGATAGAACACCCCGTTGTTGAGAGCTTCCAATCCGAAAGCGTACCCATGACGAGCACCACGAAGCACGAATCATCTGAGGCTGACGGAAAGAAGACGGGGTGAGGACTCGAAGCCAGGCTTTGCATATGCCACCTGCGCCAATGGTGGCCATGGACGTTTAGCGCAGAAAATGGTCACACATGCTTGGGGCAACAAGTTCAGTCATTTGCTTCTCAACTTGCAAAAAGAGGAGGACAAATCGAAACCTTCGGGCTCCCCGAACATCCAATCACAGAGTAAGCATCAGCACGCTTTGCACCTTTGGTCCGAAAGGGAGATGCGACTTGAAAGGGGCTTCCTTGTTTTAGTAAACACTGTTGGGTTCCCTACGGTTCCTTCATGTCCCTTCGCTTCTCGATGACGGAGTCCATAACGCAACGAGAACGGTTGTTCTGGGATGTGCTGGAACGCTCGAAGAAAGAAGGCGCCTTACTTATATGTCATATAAGTTCGTATATATGTTAAACTGCGGGATGCACTAGCTGTTTTGTTTGGTCGACCGCTGGTTTACTTTATGGCTGCATTCGCGGCCGTTGGGTTTTCCTTTCGCGTCCGGTTCGTGAACCGCTCGTGTTACGGATCCCGGGTCGATGCGACGTGAGGGGGGCTGAGTCACGTGAGGGGGTCGATGGCTCACAAGGTGAAACGGCAAGCCATGTGACCCCGAAAAGAGCTGATGTGGCCGAGCCAAGCCCTGATGTGGCCGCGCCCAGCGCGACTAGCACGCTCTTCAGCCAGCTGAGGCTTGGAGCTGTTTTGGCGGATGCTTTGCAAGATGCGACCTATGATGGCGTCAGCCGAATTCTGAAGCAGGGAGATACAGTGTAGCTTTTCAGAAGACCGCGCCGCGTTCGCCGTCGTGGGCTGTTGTTGGTTTCTGCTGTCGCTCGCTGGCCGTCGCTCGCTGTGTCTCCTGCCTTCAACCTTCACCAAGGTCATTGTTCAACAAGCTGCAAAGCAAGGGCAAGCCCCGAAAGCTGAATTTAGAGCATGCGGGATTTCCCGAAAGCTTTTCTTGTTCAAGGGATTTCTGCCCAAATTTAAGAACTGCTGAGATGTTTGTCCATGTTTTTGCATATTGCAGACATCTGAACACATCTGAAACCAACATGTTTACATTTTTGGACGCAAACGGCCATTGATGTCAAACATCTTCGCACTTAGCATTTGCTTCACTTCTTTTGACCAGTCCGACCTATCCAGAAAGGTTGGACGTGCCGTATTGGATTTGCGCTCTTTGTGTGAACCAGCATGCGGGGATTTGCGCCCGTCCCCCACCAACGGATTCGACTGGGCATGCAATTGCTCCCTGCGAATGTACCACTGCCAAGCACTTCGACGGTGCGTTGAGTGAAGCCCAGTGGCACCCAGTCGGTGGTTCGATCGTCCCTCGAGAGGTGGAAGCCCACGGCGGCCTCTTGTTCCATCTCTTACTTGAATTAAGTAGGTGCGTATTTGGATACAGGTATATCACGAAAGGTAGCCTTTGTAAGGACTACCTTGAGTTTGCTTTGCGAAGCAAAGGGACTAGCTTGAGAGCCCGCTCGGGACCAAAGATTGGTAGATCAATGTCTAACACCCCCTCCCGCACCCACTACCAGCAGTATCGACACACCATAAGGTGAAGTTATGCGCTAGCAGTCACAGCAGTACGACCCTGGCCATGAGGTTACCTATGAGCATCGACGCAACACAGCCTCTCTACAAAGCCCTGTGGAGAAACCTGTCGCATCGCGGAGCACCGTTCGACTCAGCGTTTTACCCTAGCGTGGCGACATCGTACCGCATGGTGGAGCACCACTACACAGCTATTTACGCTCCCTTCCCATCAGCCACCTACCATAGCGTGACGTCAATCCCTGGCAGTACCAACCGCACCCCTCCAGGACTATCCTTACAAGGGGGTTGGTCACTGCGGCTTCGACGCAACGTGTGCAGGCCTGCAATCCTGACACAGTGCGCGCAGCTGTGGGACCATAGCTGGTACACATGCGATCATTTACGTATTGCCACTTTTACGCGCGCCTGTTTTTACACACGCGTCGACGCAACGTAGCCTCTCTGCAAAGCAGTGTCGCGCAATCTGACCGCATTGCCGCGCACCACCTGAATCACCCACTTCCCCACGGGCCCCCCCCTTCACCAGCACCACTCGCACGATCCACCTACTGAGTCTTTAGGCCAAATAGATAGACCCATGCTTTTGCCATGCCGAAGCATGCATGCAGCTGCAGATGATGTTGGAAACCTGGATGATGTTGCAAACGTTCCTTAGCCATGCCGGAGCCGGTGCACGACCGCTACCCGGTCCGTCTCTACCTTTCGTGAGGAAGCCGCCCACCGCCTGTTCATGATTGTTCATTTGATTTCTAGATCTTCAGGAAGAACGCACGAAACGATTGCTCCTGTGAGTCCCTTGCCGTGAAGGATCCACCTGTCGTGGATCTGCAAGTTCCTGGGTTTAACGCTTCATTGCGGCCCCGCGTTAAAAAAGGGAGATACTGTAACAGCCCTTGAGCAATCAGGTGGACATCTACTTACTTTCAACCCGGAAGTTTGGTTGTCGCACCGTCGCACCCCATGTCGCACCGTCGCGCCCAATGTTTCATGCATCGCCGCTGTTTGCCATGGAAACGAGTCGCTGTTTTCAGGGCATTGTGACTGGAAAGCTTACCAGTCGTTGTTTCCACAGCCGGCCTGCTTTTGAACACCCCACCTTCCAGATAAAATCCCTACACATGCTGCCTGCTACAAGGATGGGCATTGGCGGCTGAGACACCAATGGGTTTGGGTTCTATTGTTATGGCTACGAAGATCAGCCTGAGGTTAGACATCAATGATTATTCTTAATGTTGGTTTCTATGTTTTTACGGCTTCGATTTATGATTTTTCTTAGTGTGCATGGACATGTGGTATAAATCATACGCTGAGTAATTTATGAGACATTTTGACAGTGGGTATGATCAGGCCATACAGAAGTCAAGCAAAGGCAAATTAAACAAATCATAGCAGCGGTGTGTTTTGCAGGGTTTGGAGGTTTGCGACAAATTTCCAGGTGATTGGGTTTGGTAGTTTAGTGTCTCTCACTCTTAAAAAGAATATCAACAAATCATTAGACCCCCTGTCGCAGAACTTAGAACCCGCAATTCCCCCTTTTTTAAAGAAAGCATTTTTTGCGCTTCTTCATTTTCCACTTTGTTCAGGAAATGAACAAGTTCGATGACATGATGATCTTCTTGAAGCGCACGCTTCGACAAGAAGCGCGGGAGAATCACTCTGATGCCCCGGTGCCGCATTTGGGGTGGCATCGTCCTCGATTTTGCTCACAGTTGTGGGGTCTTCGTCACCGGGTCATCTCGAAATGATTTGTGGGGGTTTTGTGGATCTCTGTTTGAGCCCCCCCCCCAAACAGTCGGGCAGATGGAGATGGCAGACATTGGGGAGAAACGTCTCCAGACACACCAAAAAGCTCCATGATTAGAGTCTGGTATCGTGGAGTCTTCTAGTAGTTTCTCCAAGCGAAGGCTTTTCTTGCGGAGGTCCAGTGGTCTTGACTGTTCTTGGCGTACTGTACGTACTCTTAGAACCCTTAGCCCTTTTGGTTTAGCAGGGATTCCTTACTAAACCACCAGTTCGATTAATTCTTTAGCAAAGGACCAGGTGGAGAGCCCAGTGGGGGTTTTCCTGCGATGGCAAGGTCCAACTGGAGCAGGTGGTGGCCATTGACGTAGACTTCAATCTCCTCACCCGCGTCTGGTGCGTGGCTGAGCTGGTCGCGGCCCGGGATCTTCATCTGCATCAGGTGGGAGAAGCTAGTAGGGCGGGCAGGTGAGAACCGTCGTCCCATTGGATATACCCAATCATAGCCTGCCTTATACTTAAAGGCATCAACTCCAGCCGGTTCTCACTTGTTAGGTTTTTGAATTAAACTCACAGCCCTGCGAGACTATGGAGCACTCTCCCTTGTTTGAGTAGCACTCCCTGCCAGTCCATCAGACGTGGACCATCCTAGATTGAGATGGGCTTCCGAAAACATGAAGTAGAAGTAGGGGCATCTGGTGGGATCCTGTTTGTTCCGACTCGTTGCTTTTCCGACGCTGAACGCTGAACGCAAGAAGTACGTCCTTCATTCGGTTGATCCACAGAGGCACCAAAACGGAAACTGCGCTCAGCCTGGGCGGCTGTGCACCTTTGCTGGAAAGACCACCTGCAGACCTGGTGTTTTTCTCTTTCCTTCGGTCTTCTTCGGTGACCTGTTTTGCTTGAAATATGTGGCGAACATAGTTTTTGTGTTGATCTTTCGAGTCGATTCATTCTCGTGGGGAGTGAAGGAATGTGACATGACTTTCCTTTTCTTATCAGAGATCGAAAGGATTTCGGCTTTTCAGATGGGGCTCGTGGAACGTCAACGCCCGACAGCGGAATGTGTCTGTTTTCCAGTTCTGATCCACTCGGCAGGCAGTTCAGATCCACTCGGCGGCGCGCCGGAACTCGTGCCTAGATAAACTTCAAATCTTAGATGTGAGGGAGGCAAATGCATCCTTCCCTGCAGACAAGGACGGCTCAGGGAGAACGGAGAAAGGGTGTAAGGCTAGGATGATCTAGGATGTACAAACTTTGGTCGCCAGAATCTGTGGGAGTTAACCTTGACGAAATCAGCTAGGCTGACCGATAGGAATTCGGAGTTGGTTTGCAGGACCTCGTCTTGAGCAAAATCGACGACGTGGATGATTTTAATTTGAGCTTGCAGGATTTGATGCTGCACCGTTTGCAAAGCTTCTTGCACGGGAATGAAGTCCGTGCAGCGGCCAATATTTGCGATGATGTCGTACTTGGACTTCTTACTGTTGTCCTATAAACTGCTATCAGGGGAGGACCAGGGAACAGCACCAAATATTGTGATCATCAATCCCACTGTCGATGAATAGATTCTTCTCACTGACCAGCTATAATATATCCTGTGAGATCCTCCATGGATCTATACAGGTTGTCCCGCCAGACGGTCCTCCCTGAATAAAGATCAATTTTGAAAGCATCAGAAATTGCCCAGGTGGCCGGCGATGAAGGGGCAGTGTTAGTGGACATGATTTTGTCAATTTAGCACACAGCATCCCGATTCTCTCTCCCATTGCTGGCTGTGGCAGCAGGTGGCTGCCTCCTGCTGTGTCTCGCACTGTGACCGCTGCCATCTTCTGATCGCTGTGAATGTAACTTCCTGTGGGCCAACTGCAACAGAACTTATTCATGTGCGATGCTTCCTCCCTGTCCGCGAGGCATCATCCTCAAGCCCAATCCCAGAAGAGCTAGATAGTTAGTGGCACAACAACCGAGCTTGGAGAAGGGCTAGATCCTTGCTGATTTGCATCGGCCGTGTCACAGCTTAACTCAGCCCTAGCTTCAACTGCTTGAAGACCAACAAAAGGCCAACGAGGTGTGATCACGCTTTGCTTCCTGGCCTTTTGAGTCGCGCCTTCACACTGTCGCAAGGACCACAAAGGCAGGGTTAGCGCTTGCCTCAACTCTTCGCAAGGTGACATTGATGCACCTTACAGTCAGAAACAAGCACTGACTGGGAGCCGGGTGTGCTAGCATTGCGTGCTCTCTCCATGAACCGGGTCTTTCTTGAGCTCCGACTGAAAAGCAAACCGAGTGGGTCCCAGGCACGTATTCGGAACGTACTAGTAAGGCACTTGTTTCTAATAGCTCCTTGTTACTTATTATTATATATCCAATCTTCGAGATTTGTCCATGCGTGGCAATCGCTTCTAGTGTCGCAGGCTGCTGGCTACTCCCTATTGCTGCAGATTGACATGAAGTCATAGCTTTGCTGCACGTCGCTTCCACAGCGCTACGCCAACTTGTCTCAGAACAAAAAGCATTCCAATTGCCCCAAGCAACAGTGAATCCGTTAGTTGCAACTTATGCTTTCACAATGCCTGATCCACGGATGGTGCAAAAAAGAAAGTTGCTTTCCTGTTCCACACCGCAATCCGTTTGTGTCCCAGCAAGTGTGGGAAGAATAGTCCCTATCATGAATGAGACCGGTCGACCTGCAAACTTGATTCACTAATCATTTGCAGTGGCTGCCACTTGAGTGGCACCCAGCGCCAAACGCTGGACCGCAAATGAACAAATGAACGCTTGTATTTCTTTTATTCGTTCGCATGATTGCTAGTTGGATACCTTCTTGAAGCGATGAAGAACTCTTGGCTATAAGCAACTGTGGCAAAGCCACTGGTTGATGAACTGTTTTTTTTGCGCCGATCTGTTTGAGGCGGCTTGCGGTCGCTGACTGTGTCAATGATCTGGGACATGCAGCGGCAAGCTCCGCAATTGAGTGTGTTGAACATTCACAATACTGAGAGGAACCTGTACTATGCCGATTGTCCAGTGAGGGGCTGGTGGTTTGCGTTCGTGTCAGACGTGCTTTAGGGAGAACAACGTTCTTAACAGTTTGCTAGTGCAAGCATGAGGTTCCATGGACACATGTTTGACCCTTTTTCACTGCCCATAGGGTGGGCTCGAGAGCAGTGCGGGAAAACCGCGCGTAGCGCGCCTCGGTCCGTGGTCGGACCCCTTTTTGTCCTTGTGGTAGGACCGCTTTCATGGTAGGCGGAGCTCTGGCTACATCCAGGTGACCTTCGAGGAGATCCTGGCGGCAAGGGCTGATGCCCGCAGAGGAGGTCCCGTTGTGGGACGGAGACCCAAGCTCCTTCGAGGCATTCGCCACATCCTGCAAGTGGTTTGAATGCGCTCTGAAGGACAGCGAGAAGAAGCTCGCAGCCCCGAAGATTTGGCAGCGCCTCTCCGGCGCCGCCAAGTCGGTGGTTCGCCATCTCGACCCCAAGGACTTCAGCTCGGACACAGGCCTGGAGAAACTACTTCGGGTACTTCGAGAAAGCCCTCTCCAGAAGCTCCCCATCCCCGACTCGTTTTCGAGATTGGAGAAATGGAGTGGCCTCCGGAGGGGCCCCAACGAGAGCATCCCGCAGTTGCTTGTCCGAGAAGAAGAGCTGTTCGTGGAACTTCAACAGGCCCTTCAACGAGCAAGGCATGAGCGTGCTCGGCATGAAGTCCGGTCGATGGCAGTGGGGGCAAGTGAACATGACCCTCCAACTTCACCAACCCGTTCGCCGAACGTGACTCGGGCGGGGTTGAGCTCCGGAAGGGATGAGGCCAGCTTCATGGCGGAAGAGGATGAACCTCCACCGCCGCCAATGGTCACGCCCTCAGGTGGCGTCGGGTTCTTCGAGAATGAGTTGAGGGGCTATAGACTCCTGAAGGCTTCGAAGCTGTCGCAAGCCGAGAGGCAGCATGTCTTGACCCTGACGAAGAACTCCACCCACTTCGCTCAGATCCGCCAAGCCCTGAGGTCCCTGTTTTCAGATGGAGCTGATCAGGCAGATGATCATCATGGCCGGTTCCCTCGAAAGACCGTTTGGTTCAATGAGGAGAACAACGACTGGGACTATGAGGAGGAATGGTGGCCTGATGATGACTCTTGGTGGAGCGAGGCGGACGCCTATTGGGCTGACTGGTCCCCTTCGTCCTGGGATGATGGCTATGAGGCGGAGGAGCCCTATGCTGGTCTTCATGACGACGGAGCTGGAGGGCAAGATCGAAGCACTGAAGAGATTGAGGGTGAGCAGCGGTTGGAAGAGGCCTACGCTCTTGCGACAGAGGCCAACAAGACCTTGGCGGAAGCGCGCCAAGCGGTGGCAAGAGTTCGAGCAGCTCGTGGCTACTTCGATCCAACTGGCACCAAAGGCCATCCGGGACATCTTGGAGGTGGAAAAGGGAAGAGAAAAGGATCGCCTCCTGGGAAGGGCAAGGGATCCGGAGGATTTGGTCCGTGCTTCATCTGCGGACAACCAGGACATGGCTATGCCAAGTGCCCTGACAGATGGTCCGGAAAAGGAGGAAAGAAGGCAGCTTCGTCGTCGCCTTCTTCCAGGAGTTCCTTCATTGGCAAGGGCAAGGGCAAGAATGCCTCCAAGGGGAAGAAGGGCAAGGTTTTCTTCACCGACTATGAGGCAGAATGGGTGCCCGACATCTACGTCCTCAGCCTGACAGATCGAGATGACTTTGATAACATGTCCTGCAGTCGCGTGATCATTGACACCGGAGCGACGGAGTCTGTGGCTGGCATCCGGGCGATGGCAAGGCTTCTAGACACCTGCAACTTCCTCTACAATGTGGAGCTTGGTGATCGGCCCCGTTTCCGCTTTGGGAACGGAGAGTCACTACGGGCAGTCAGCAAGGTTGTCCTCTATACTCCAGCGCTGGGCGAACTGGGCTTCTACTTGCTCGATGGCGGGGCTGAGATGACTCCACCTTTGCTGGGGGCCCGAGAGCTGAAAGCCCGACGCTCGGTGATCTCATACCATGGAGACTACATGGCACATCGATCTGAGAGAGGCAACTGGTACTGCAGTGAACTGTCCCCCTTGCCGAGTGGACACCTGACCCTGTACCTGCAGACTCCCAAGACGCCGATCCGGTTCCTGATCGCCCGCTTCAACACGAACCCAGGCACTGAGTGGCCTCCCGGTGGACCATCATATGGCGATGAAGATGATGAGGACCCAGATGGTGATGATCCAGGTGCTCGAAGGCCGAAAAGACGAAGAGAGGATCCAACTGCAGCCCTGATCAGGGGCCATGCGACTGGAACTACGAGGCCTCCGGCACCGACTACCTCTGGGATGGGCCGCGCTGCTGAGAGAGGAGCCCACATTGAGTCGGACGAAAGTCCCAACCTTTCTCCTTCTGTGGTGGTCGAACCAGAAGAACCACCTCCTACGACAGCTGAAACTGCAGCTCGTCCAGCACCGAAGACTCCCTCTGAGCACCGAGAAACGTACGCGGCCGACACTGTGATCGTCAGACATCCCTCGATCGATCTCGAAGACAGTGAGTCTCATGTTCATGAAGATGTTCCCGAATCGAATCGAGGCTGTGAAGGTCAGGATTCAGTGATGGAGTCAAGTGCAGTCACGAGCGCTTCTTGTCATGGAGAACATGCACCTGCACATGAACCAGTTGATCATGCACATGGAGAACATGCTCCGGTACATGAACCAGTTGGTCATGCACATGAGGATCATCATTCCATTCACTCTCATGATGAATGTCAATCTGCAGTTGTGAATGGGACAATTTTCATGGTCCAAGAGGATGGAACCGATGATCTTTCCAGCCGCCTCAGCATCTTGGCTCAGCGCCTGAGAGAACACCAGGCCATCTACATCTCCTCTCCAGAGGATGAAGTCATGCCCACCGTCATCGGATCACGATCCCCGACAAGTGGGATGGCCATGCCGTGGAGAACATCTTCCGGGACGAGAGCGCTCCAATGGCTCAGCGATGTGGCAGGCATGCAGCCGATGCGGCCTTCGACTTCGCTACGTGACCAAAGGGAAGGCAACCGGTCAGACACGGGCAGTGGGACCGCCTCCCGATCAGGTCGAGCAGGCCCAGGAGGAGCTGAAGTCGCTGTTTGCGGCCCCGGAGATGACGGAGAAGATCTTCAACGGGAAGTTGATGGAGATCAGAGGCCGGACGCTGGTGCAGAGCGGCGGACACAGCCGGACGACAGTGCAAGTCCGAGCGGACGAGAAGTTGGGCGAGGCGATGATGGCCAATGCCTCGTGCTCGGGGAGCTACCCAACAGCGAGCCCAATGAAGCCATCCAAGGAGACCAAGGGACGCTCGTTGTCGCCGACACCAAAGACTCCTGCAAAGAAGCCCATGACCCCGGAGGAGGAGATCATTGCAGCCGAGAAGATGAAGAACACCCCGGCACGTGTGAAGACGGAGAAGACCGAGAAGGTCAAGAAGGCAACTTCATCGGCAGCT